AGGAGTGGCTACACACAGATTGTTTCGGAACTCAGGGTGGAGAAACACTGCTCTGTCGTTGTTGCTTCAGCAGCCCCAGGCTAGACCCATTTGCATGGTTTAAAGCAATACGTGAAACTGGCCAGGTTTAGCCAAAATGGAGACAATTGTTCTTTCAAGGAGCATGCCCAAGGGCTGGTCAAATAGCTCAGCGGAGGACATAGCATAGAGGCTATGTCACTCATCTCTGGAGTGTTGTGCCGGCCCCGCCCCCAGGGCGTGCTGAGATGGCCATTGAGACTGGGTGGCTCTTGGGAGGCTGAAAACAGGAGAATCAGTACAAGTTGGATCTCCGAAGTGAGACCCTGTAGACTCTGTACTAAAATACAAAAAAAAGAACTGCTCAGGTGATCCTCCACACCTTGGAATTTGGCACCTGGAAGGCACCTACAGGGAAGATGACCAAATGTGCTCCTCTGCCAGAAGGGGTGGGCTTTAGGATGTGAGAGCTTTTCAGTTTAGGACTGCCACAGGTCATTCAGTAGGTCGTAAAATTAGTGAAACTAGCGAATGATAGAGGTGCAAATATGTCCAATATTCAGTTTCTTCTTGCCTTTTCTTCTGCAGAAGAAACTGAAGCTCAAAGAGGGGAAATGGCCTACCCAAGGTTATCCAGAGCCTTTGTGGGCAGTGGGAATTGGAAAATAGAACTTGGGACACACAGGCCATTTCTCTTTCCCAGGAAGTAAAGCTGCAGAACGCAAACTAAAGTGCACTTATTGAACCCCTACTGTGTGAGCCGCTAGCCTGTGGCTTAGCAAAAACCTGGGAGAAGGAGATGTCAAAGGCAGTGCTCTCCAACAGGAGCCGATGACCATGCAAATGTTCCACGCAGCATTGTCCAACATGCAAGTCATTAGCCATAGTGACTAGTGGCTATTGTAACCAAGAAGCTGAGTTTAAATTTTGTTTTAATTACCTTTAATTTATTTTTTTCCTTTCCTTTTCTTTTCTTTTTTTCTTTTTTTGAGGCTGGAAATAAATTTTATTGGGGTGAGTTCGTAAGTACAGAATCCACAGATAATAAGGATCAGCTTTACACATAATGGGGACAACATGAAAGAAAGAAAGTGCAAATGGTAACCAAAGTCAAAAGCACCGGCTGGGAGCATAGTTCAGCAGCACAGGTCCCTGCCTGCCAAGAGTAGCATCCCAAGTTCGATTCCCAGTACCAAAAAAATTTCCAATGCACATATAAAATTCTCAGCATCATTAATTTATTTATTTTTCTTTTTTATTAGTAACTTTTAATTGAAAATATAAAATGCACACCCTTGCATTGTTCAAGAAAACTTAGCTTAAGTATCAATTATTATTTTTTTTAATTCAACTAAACAATCTAACACTGTCTAGCAGTCTATAATATTAGTGGGTTATCCTCAGAAGTTATTGACTTGAGCCTTTTACAGCTCATCATATTAATATGGATTTACTTTATATACCTCATTTTTATATTTTTCTGCTGAATGGTTAAGACCAAAATATAGCAAGACCTATATACCCAGAAATATAACTTTTGTACCTGATAAGGTCAGCCAAGTACTCTCAGGATTTATCCTGTAGACCTGTACCACGTTTTGTATATCCTTTTGTCAGTGTCTGACATGAGGATGAGTCACAGCCATTGCTTGACCAATTTGCTCTCTGTGAAAGCTTAAGAAAATGTTTTTTCTCACCATGTGACTCTCCCCAGGCTCACTTTAGATCATTGAACACGTTTCTCTGTGGCTTCATAATCTTCTTCTTTTTTTTTTCCCCAAAATTTTATTGATAAACAGGTAGCAACGAGACAGTTTCAAATCAAATCGTAAGTACAGTTTCAACAAGTAACACACTGCATATATTCTCCTTAGTGGTTAATTGCTGTACAAGATGCGGACCTGAGATTTCTATTTACAAACACCACTAGAACAAATCATTCTATTCATTAAGAGAATGCAACTATACATCCATCCTAACCACTTTGAATACACAGATACAAAATGGACATTCATAGTTATACCCCATTTTTTCTAAGTTCCGTTATTGAATATTATAGGTGTGTAAACTCAGCAAAATATTCTAAAAGAGTCCAGTAGCCCATAATAGCATTGGGTCTTCTGTTTAGCTGGCAATAATTACCTTTAATTTAAATAGCCATAACAGCAAATGAGTAGCATATTGAAAAGCACCGATCTAACGGATATGATTAGTTTTCACAAGCATGTTCTTTTCCTCTGAGAAAAGATTTTATACTGTGTACACTTTTTAGAAGGAAATTCTGCTTGCTTGCTTGCTTGTTTTCTTTCTTTCTTTCTATATTTCTGTATTATTTCTTTTTTTTTTTTTTTTTTTTTTTGGCAGAACCGGGGATTGAACACAGGCCCTTGTGCTTGCCAGGGAAGTGCCTATTCCACTGAGCCATCTCCCCGGCCCTCTGTATTATTTCTGTATTTCTTCTCTCTCTCTCTGTCTCTGTCTCTGTCTCTGTCTCTCTGTCTCTGTCTCTCTCTCTCTCTCTCTCTCTCTCTCTCTCTCTCCTTCTTCCTTCCTTCTTTCCTTCTCCCTCCCTCCCTGTTTTTTCATTGAGAAGGGAGGAGGGTGGCAGAAAGCTGGTAGTACTCGCAGATGGTATGCAGGGTACAAGCCCTGAAGCAAACCCTGGTTCTCTTCCTCCTCCAGGGCTGTGCAATGGGTTATCATCTACCCCAGTTCTATCAAAGAGGAGAGCACAGAATGGAAAATTACAAATATAGAAAAATTAATGATATTCTAAAAAAGAAAAAAAAATAATGATGCCCTGAGAAAGAGTCCCCTTGTTGACTTGGAAGAGGGAAGCTAGGGACGAGAAGAGTTCATTCTCAGGTGAAGATTCCTCACTTGGTACTCACATCACAGTTTCATCCAATCAAAATACCAAACAGGAAGGGATTTTCACTCAGAGGGCAGGAGAGTCTATAAACTTGTGCTTTAGGAGGAGGTTAGGGCAGAGTCCCAGGTATGCTTTTATAGTGACTTGACCTTGCTTGGGCCACCACCATCTACCCCTTTTGGCCCCAGTTTACGCCTTGGTGAAAATCAGAAGAGGGGCACACATGGCATCATAGTCTGTAGAGGCAGAGAGGATCTGATACCTGTTCTCACCCATCATGGGGGTCTTAGCCAACACTGCCATCACCAAAGACAGGTTACCCAAAAAAAACACCACAGGGGCTGGAGAGATGGCTCAGTGGTCTAAAGCACCTACTTAGAACAAGCTTGGCAAAGCATCAGGGACCGCGGTTCAATCCCCCAGCACCACATGCCA